TTTTTTTTTTTTTTTGATTGATGAAATTGTCCTGGCATTAGATAGGGTGATGGTTTTACAATCTTGTGATTATACTAAAAACCACTGAATTTAAAGTATACTTAAAAATGTAAAAAAGGGGGCTCCTAGTTGGCTCAGTCAGTTAAGCTTCGGCTCAGGTCATGATCTCACAGTTCGGTTCGTGAGTTCAAGCCCCACATCAGGCTCTGTGCTGACGGCTCAGAGCCTGGAGCCTGCTTCGGATTCTGTGTCTCCCTCTCTCTCTGTCCCACCCCTGCTCACACTCACACTCTTGTCTCTGTCTCCATCTCCCTCAAAAAATAAGTCAACATTTAAGAAATGTAAAAGAAATGGAAAACAAAAATAATTGGAGAAAGGGTCAGAATCAGGTAATAGGTTTGGGAATCATTCATAGAGGTAATTACTTAAGGAATGGGAATGGATTCTCTGTAGGGCTGCTGTCCTGTCCAATTAAGTGTTTAAAAATACTAAATCTGTATGTAAATTTCAGAAAAGCTTTATACCAACTGTCACAGTGCTTCCCTCTGGAGAACTAAGAAAACACCTGACTCTGGAGTATAGGCTCAGAGTAACTACTTAAGCTTTCCACACCTATGCTTCCTTATCTTTGAAATAATAGCTTTGGTTTTGCCCTTAAAAAATGAAATAGTTACTAGCAAAAACACCTGCTGCGCCACTGGGATTTGGGGCCGTTCCCACGGTGTTCGTGTCAGTGTGCCCCCTGGAACAACAGACACTGCAAGCAGATCTCTCCAGAGCTAAGTGACACAGTGGCACTCATGGTAGGAAAGTGTCTCCTAGAGCCTCAACCAATGTAAATTCCTCTCCCTTCCCCGAGGAAAAGACCCTCTCGCCCATCAACTTTGGTGTTCAGATATTCTGAAAATGGTCTTAGAACAATGGAGAGATAAAGTCGTCTTTGTTGTTCCTAACCAAGCAGAAAAGCGCAACAGCCACGGCGTCACCACGTGACTTTGGAACGTGACCCTGTGCCCAAAGAAACAGCAGCCTCCCTCCCCAACTAGTTCTTACACCATCAAATAGCCTCATGACAAAAAAGGGATTTGTGTCAGAAATGGCATCGGGTTCCCTGCCTGACGGTATGTGTTGGGCTTACTTCTCTAGTTTTTAGGGCTGGGCCAGTAGTAGGGCCAAGAGAATCGTGGGTCAGGCCCAAGGTAAAGATCATGAAATCCGTGCTTTTATTGTCAGTGGTGTGGTTCATCAAAGAGCTGACTGGGACAGCATCCATGAGAAGATCTGTCAGCTCCTGATCCCACTGCGCACCACCATGCCCTTCTACAATTCAGAGGAAGAGCGGCAGCATGGCCTGCAGCAGCTTCGGCAGCGGCAGGTGGGTCTTGAGGGACTGTGACGGGTGGCTCACGGGTGCCGCGAAACTTCCCAGGAGAAAGGGCGAACCTCCTTGAGGACAGAGACTTTGTTTTGTGGCTCTATGCCCTCAGTACCATTCAGTCAGTTGTTCTCCACATATTTACTGAATACCTACTGTATTAGGTGCCAAAGGCTGCCATAACAAAATACCGTAGACTGGGTGGCTTAAACAACAAATTCTGGAACCTAGAAGTCCCAAGATCAAGGATGGGTATCAACAGGCTTGGTTTTCTCTGTTCACAGGCATCCCTGGTGTTTCCAAATGTCTTCTTAAAAGGACACCAGTCAAATTGGATTAGGGGCCACCCTAATGGCCTCATTTTAACTTAATCACCTCTGTAAGGCCCCGTCTTTAAACACAGTGACATTCTTGGGTACTAGGGGTTAGAGCTTGAGTTTGTGGGGGGGGGGGGGAGAACAGAATTCAGCCTTAACACCTATATATGCCAAGTATGTTGATAACAGCATAGGTGCATAGGAGGAGGTCAAAAAAATGATGTATGAATACACTAGGGAATACATAAAGGAGATTTTGTGGCATTGATAAGCATCTCAATTATTCTAAAAAAAATTAGGGCTTTATAAGCCATAAATCTCAAAACACCAGATTCATCCATTTTAGTATTGTGGCACTTTGAGAATGGCCTTGGGACAATGCAGAGTTTAAGTTATTTCTGATATTCGCTATATCTGTTATCCTAACTCCAGAAGGAAAGAGAAGATAATTTCTCTCAAAATTAACTCAAGCAGAAAGCCAGAATTTTTTAGAATGTCGTAAGACATGACAGTTCTGCTAAACCACAATTTTATTACAAATATAAGAATAATATTTATTGAATAGTTTTCTATTAAGCACTCATTTATGCTGATCAATGAGCTATGGTGAAAAGACACTTGTTCCTGGCCCTTGAGGAACTCACAATCCGGGTTTTTTCTATCACCTATTTTGGATTTCATGGCCACCCTAATACAAGCAGGTTAGCTAGGTGCCCTCGACCAGTTCATTAGGTGTTGGCCTTGCTCCAGGTGTACCTATGCCCGCCATTGATGGTCTATTTTTTCTTCCGCAGAAGCACTTGATTGAATTCTGCTACACTGTAGCCCAGAAATACCTCTTTGAAGGAAAACACGAAGCCGCTGTCCCGGCAGCTTTGCATTCGCTTTGCTTCCGCATGAACCTACACGGCCTGAGTTCCGTAGAGCTCGTGCCTGCTTACCTGCTGCTGGCCGAGGCGAGCCTGGGTAAGGGAAATGACTTGAGATCCCCGGGGGCCCCTTAAAGAGCACTATACTGGGTCGTTTCAGTGGCCAAAGAGTGCAACCTTGGAAGTGGCACCAAGACACTTTTCGTAAAAGAGCAGTGTTGCTGTAAAGTTTGGCATAAGGTGGGGAAGCAGATGTCATCAACTTTGGGCTACTACTGATGGAAATCCACTAAATAGCTGGTCTAAGCAGAAAGAGGACATTTATGAGGACCCTGGGGTGTCCCAGGGGAATTGAGTCTTCATGAGGCACTAGAATCAGAGTGTTGTAACCAACTGAGGCTAGTGCTCTGCTTCTCTCTTGGGCCTTGTCTCTTGTCTCTGCTTCTGTCTTCGCATCTGCTTTATTTTCCATCTCTGCAGATGTTTCTGCCTGATGCCTACCACAGAAGACAGCTACCCCAAAATATCAGATGTAGCTGAATTTACAGGGAATCTACATGTCCTCCAGGTTCAAGGCGGGTAATAGAAACTAATTAGCATCTGATTTCCAGTGTTCAATTCCTAGAAGAGACGGTTGTGTTGACTCAGCTTGAGTGTGGTGTTTACCTTTACCTACCTTTGCGTCAGGGTCACATGGTAACAGGAGTATAGGAACCTGCTCCTGTGGATGGGAGAGGGGGTTCTGAGAGTGGGAAGCACAGCCTTGGCGGAGCTCCATCCCACACAGTGGTTGCTACAAGAAGACAATTAGCATTTTGGAGGGGAATTAACCTTTTTGAGCATCTGCAGTGTTTTAATTACTGTCCAACCATTTTATACATCTTAATAGCCACTATTTTTTTTTTTTAAACAAACTTTTAGAGGCGCTGGGTGGTTCAATTGGTTAAGTGTCCAACTTCGGCTCTGATCATGATCTCACAGCTGGTGAGTTCGAGCCCCACCTTGGGCTCTGTGCTGACAGTTCAGAGCCTGGAGCCTGTTTCAGATTCTGTGTTGTCTTCTCTCTCTGCCCCTCCCACCCTGCCTCCCTCTTTCTCTCTTTCTCAAAAATTAATAAACATTAAAAAAATTTTTTAAAAACAAACTTTTAAAAAGAAAGGCTATTGCAAATACAGTACCTTGACCTTTTTTTCCCTGAGCTACGTTGAGAGTAAGTTGCTTGCCTGATGCATTTCCTGCAAAGACGTTCTCCTTCATAACACAGTACCACCACCATCTACAATCATCTACTAAGCAGATCCCATTCAAGTTTCTCCAACTGTCCCAATAACATCTTTATAGCAGAAGGATACAGTTCAAAATCATCCTTTTCATTTTGTTGCCATGTATTTTTAGTCTCCTTCATTCTGGAATAGTTTCTCAATCTTTCTTTGGCTTTTATGACTCTGACACTTTTAAGATTAAAGGCCAAGTATTCTATAAAATGTCTCTTGATTTGGGTCTCTCTGATGTTTCTTCACAACTGGACGAGGTGATGTATCTTTGGCAGGAATATCACAGAAGTGGGGCTGTATTCTTTCTCACCTCATCCTGCAAGTTGGCATATGTTTTCAATTTGTTTCATTACTGATGATACCCATTTAAGTGACTTTACTGGTGGCGTCTGACAGGCTTCTTTGTATACTCTTCCCTCTCTTTGCAATTAGTAAGTATTTTTTGGGGAGGTATTCTGAAACTATAGAAATATCCCATTCCATCGAACTTTTAATATATTCATTTATTTATTTATATCAGAATGAATTCTTGGTTCCCTGCTCTATTCAATGGGTTAATAATCTGTTACTATCATTAATTTGGTGGTTAGATGATTCTAAGTGGCTGGCCATTCATTTTTTTTAAATATATGAAATTTATTGTCAAATTGGTTTCCATACAACACCCAGTGCTCATCCCAAAAGATGCCCTCTTCAATACCCGTTACCACCCCCCCCATCAGCCCTCAGTTTGTTCTCAGGTTTTTAAAAAAAATTTTTTTTTAACGTTTATTTATTTTTGAGACAGAGAGAGAGAGAGCATGAACAGGGGAGGGTCAGAGAAAGAGCGAGACACAGAATCTGAAACAGGCTCCAGGCTCTGAGCTGTCAGCACAGAGCCTGAAGCAGGGCTTGCACCCATGGACCGCGAGATCATGACCTGAGCCGAAGTCGGACGCTTAACCGACTGAGCCACCCAGGCGCCCCTGTTCTCAGTTTTTAAGAGTCTCTTATGCTTTGTGGCTGCCCATTCAAACTGGCTTCTGTGTCTCCTTAACAATCCCCAATGTTCTTTATCACTTTCCTGCTTTCTCAACATACCTCCAAGGAACCTTGATTTTTTTTTTTTTTTTTTTTTTTTTTTTTTTTTTTTTTTTTTTTTTTTTTTTTTTAGTGGAAAATGGGATTCAGAAGCCAAGAGTTGTGCACTAGACATATGCATTGCTGTTGGGGTAGGGCTACTCCTAGGCCTTCTCAATGGACAGAGTTAGGGAATATGTATGAATATAATAATGTATGCACATTTTACATCTAAATTCAGTCTCTCTCTCTCTCGAAAGATAGTTAGATGAATAGATAGATAGATAGATAGATAGATAGATAGATAGAGATAGAGATACGAGTATGGGTCCATGCCAGTACCTGGTACCTCTACCAACACCTGTTGGACTGAATTTAGAGGTACTGGCATGAACCCATGCCCAATCTAATTTCCTCCCATTCCATATCTGTAGTTCTCTTCTCTGACAGTGAGAATGCTGGCTTCCTTTTTCATCAATACATTTCATCAGTTCCCCTGTATGAACTAATCTCCCATCTCCACCCCTAGTCTTTCCCTTTGCAGATGTCCTTCTCTCCTTCCATGGGCTCTGACTCCTCAGTCAGGGCTTCTGCTTCTGCATCGATCCCCTCCTCACCAGTTTGGACTCTTACTCCCCTCTACCAGGCCATGTAACTGCAAGAATGCCCCTCCTCACTCGCTCAGGTCTGGCTCCCCATTCCAGCTGTCCCTCCACCAAAACTGCTGGGAAGAGCACTGGACAAAGAGATACAGCTCAGGCCCTGTGTATTTCTGACACTGACTAGCTGTGGGATTTGATAAAAGTCTCCCTAGCCTAAGTTTCATCATCTCTCTTCTGGACTATTGCTCACTAGCTGAGATCTGGCCTCCCTCCAGTCTGGCCTCCACACAAAATGTGATCAGACCATTCCACTAGGTGAGGACCAGATTCTCCAAGCAGCCTATGAGCTGCAGCGTGATCGAGCCTTTATGAATTCTGTCACCTCATCTCACATCTTCTCTCTCCCTTTTAGTTACATTGGCCTTCTCCTTGTTTGGGAAGGCTCCTCTTTAGCCACTCTCCCCATCTCTTCTCCCCTCCCCTCCACCTAACTAACTCCTATTCATCCTTTAGGTCTAAACTCAAGAGTTACCACCCCCTTGGGGCACGTGGGTGGCTCAGTCAGTTAGTTATCCAACTCTTGATTTCAGCTCAGGCCATGATCGCAGGGTCGTGGAATCGAATCCTGCATCAGAGTCTGCACTGAGCATGGAACCTGCTTGGGGTTCTCTGTCCAGCTCTGCCCCTCTCTTCTGCTTGGTCTCTCTCTCTCTCTCTCAAAATAAAAAATTTGGGGGTGCCTGGGTGGCTCAGTCGGTTGAGCGTCTGACTTTGGCTCAGGTCATGATCTCACAGCTCGTGAATTCGAGCCCCGCGCCGGGCTCTGTGCTGACAGCTCGGAGCCTGGAGCCTGCTTCAGATTCTGTGTCTCCCTCTCTCTCTGCCCCTAACCCACTTGCATTCTGTCTCTGTCTCTCTCAAAAATAAATAAACACTAAAAACAAATTTTTTTAATAAAAATAAAAAATAAAAAAATATAAAAAAAAGAATTTAAAGAGTTAAT